GACAGCTAGAAGAAGAATTGCGAACTTTTATTTTATCCAGTGAACCTACGCTCCTCTAGGTTCGGTTCTAGACAAAAAAAGTACAATACTTAGTACCGAGTACCGAGTTGTACCGAGTTTTTTCAAAAAACTCGGTATTGCGCTGTTTTGGTCTAAAACCGAACGTAGAGGAGCGTACGTTCACTGGATGTAATAAAAGTTCAAGAATTGCGGGCTTAGTCGGTCAACTTCTTCTATGATTTGTTAAAAGCTTACATAAAAGAAAATTTACGTAAGAAAATTGATAAAATTTAGAGATAAGTTTTGCAAATTCATGAGATTTTGAGGACTAAATTAATTAATTCCATCAAAAAATAAGTTGCATTCTTTTATCCATGTTATTAGATGATTTGCTTATATATAGGATTTATTTGGGACGGCTGCAATATTTTATAAGTTAATTGTGAAATTATTATTGGAAAATAATATAGCTACTCTTATTGTAAAGTAATTTTCAATCATAAATTTTTTTAAAAGTTGTGAGAAAATAATAAAAAGTAGTAATCAAATAAAATTGTGATTATATTGAAAAATAAAATAATAAGAAAGTTGTCAAAAACAAACCATTAATTTTATGTGAACTTTTCAATTGTTGGTCTTAGGCTTATTAACTTTATTTATTTTAAGGGAGTAGCTGTTGCAAAAAGAAGTATATTAAATAATTTGATAGCATTGTTATAAGGATTTAGACAAATCTAATTGAATTAGAACATTGCGAAACAAACAAAAAGATTCATGACAGTACATTTAAAGCTTTTTTAAATATATGATTTGTATGTATGTATTTATTTATTTATTATAGTCATGCAATTAGTAAATATTTCTAATATTAAACGTGATGTTCCTGAGTTAAGTGATAATTATAAGGTGCAAAAAGAGTTAATTCATCTTTATTTATGTTGGATGGATATTGATTATGTCATAAGAAAAGATGAATCACTTACAGTTACTCCGAATAGTATTCTTGTGGAGATTGCTCTTTATGAAGGTTAGGACCAATCCAATCGCCTCAATTTAATATTAGAGAGCTACTTTATAAAACATATAGATTTTGAATTGGTAAGAATTTTCTTCCTAACTACATGGGGTAATGTTTTTCTCAGAGCGTTGCAGTGTTGTATTTGAGAGCACTGGGACATTCCCTCTCAATCTTAAGAAAATGCTACGGTTGACCGCCATGGCGCTTAGCCATGTATTATTGAACATCTAGAGAAATTTGTAATATTCTAACCTAGCGTTGTGGCATATGAGCGTCATCACCTTGGCTACTAAAATATATTTTTTATATCTAAAATATAAATCAATTTCTCAAAACTACCACAACAACCCCCAGCCCCACCTCTAGTCCCCTTAGTTTGTTGAAGAAGGAAGTATAGAATGATGAGAAATGACAATAAAGTAAAGGATTAGAGAAGTTTGGAGGCCGTAGAGCTGAATTTGTTCATTGAGTCGGTTAAGGATTTTGTTGATGAGCCCCATGTAGACTTCTAAACATATGTCTCTGATTTTAATTCCAAAAAGTATATAACAAGATATAGATAACAATATATTTTTCTCAAGTATTACATTATTTTTACCGTGTAACTTTTTGTATATCATAAAATGCTTCACTGGTTAATTTTCTCTATGATGATTTATATGCATCTCAAATAAATAAGACATTTCATGTATTTATGATAGTTCTCTAGAAGTCTTCTTTTTTTAATGCTCTTTTGAAGTTGCAATTAGAAAATAAAAGGTTAAGTGCATAGGTCTTTACACATGCAATTTTTCCTAGTTTTGATAATTCTTATTGTTCATATATCATCATATTTATGTTTAAAGTCATAATTGTCTGTTGAAACAGTCATACTGCATAATTCATGGCATAGCATTGAAGAAATTCTGAGATCTAAAATATTATAAGTGCATTATATGAAATATTACAGGGGCCCTATATATATGCTATATTATGACCACATCTACCTAGTGCGGATGGATGCACTATTGAACATTAACGTAAAATTTAAAAAATACACATACTATTACTTGATTAAAATTGTTTAAATCATGATGATCATCAAAAACATATTTTATAGTAATATAGATGTTTTCATATTTGAGCACTTTATGGATAATATAAATGTAATCAGATTGGAAACTTTATAGTGATAAGTATGTGTTCTAGATGTTGTTATTATATTTAATTGTATAAACTTTGTTATCATTTGTGTTATAACTATGGTGATTATACTTATTATATTATTATAAAATATTATAACTCCATGAATTTAATATAAGACTTATTATCAAAATTTTATCTTTTATTATGTTTGCTTTATAATCTATTGTGTATTATATTATGTATTGCTACACTATTGTTTAACAAGTTCAAAATTTATTCGAACATTAAATAAAACTTACTCAATCATACAATTCAATTATTTTATATATTTTTTTTCTAATAATACTTTATTAAAAAAAATTTAAACAATATTCCAATCATGATAAAAAAGTTTTCAATTATAATGATAAGTGTTAGGATTTAATGGAGACAAAAATAATTCGATCATCTCCAAAAGACATGTCAAATCATCGAGAAGAATTTGTACCAGAATCCATTGAAATGCAGAATTAAGGTTTTCGGTCTTCCACGTTTAGAGCGGCGTTCTCCAAGAGCGAGAGACCCATTCTTTTCACTCAAGATGGGAAATGAGATAAATGAGAACTTTACCTAAACTAGGGACCACGACCCTTTTATACTTTAAGTGTAAATATTTTATTTTAGCCAATCAGTAAAATAAAATAAATATCCGGCCTTTACACAAATTAATTCCATACAAAATTTATTTGAGAAGTCACATAAGCCAATTAATAATTTAATACTTAAATAGATCACGAATTTAATTGGCTTGATTTTAGATAGCGTATAATGTATAATTCTTTATTATATGTATTGATACGTCACCATAAAATTATCTTGATCAGGCACGAATCTTGATCAAAATCGGTGCACGATCAAGGGATTCAATATCAACCGTCCATTCGACCACTCCCTATTTGCCCCTAAACTGTAACCGCCGGTAATGGAAACGGCGGTCGACCGGCGCTTGCCGGCGGTTTAGCGAACACACGACGCCGCTTTAACCGCTAGCATACCGTTGGTAATGTGACCACCGGTTAGCCGTCGGTAAACTAACCGGCGGCTTAACGGCCGGAACACCGCCGGTTGCAAATCCGGTTGTCACCGGCGGTATAGGCCGCCGAAAAACCGCCGGTAAGTGTTTCCTACGCGATTTTTTCCGGCGGTTTGAATGGCGCCGCCAAGCCGCCGGTAATTAAAAAAACCGCCGGTGTAGCCATACGAACCGCCGGAGAAAACCATCGGTTTTTGGCGTTTTACCTGTGGTGTCACACCTATTTACAAGTTATGCCACTTCAGAAAATCTATAAATAGACCCCTCATTTCTCATGAGAGGGGGACTAAAAGCAAGGAGGAGGAGAAGAAGAAGAGAAGAATAGGAGGGAAGAGACTCCTCCTCGACCACCGCCGGAGTTCCACCCGAACTCCAAATGACATTGGAATTCTGCCCGACCTCCACGGGACGCCAGAATTCTGTCTGACTTCCACGGGATGCTAAATTTCTGCCCAAGTAACGACAGAGTTCCCCCCTGATGCCGAAACTCCGCCCAAGTGATACAAGAGTTCTCTTCGTTCTCCAATAGACGTCGGACTTCTACCCGATGCCAGACCTTCACTCATAGCTAAGTTTCTACCCGACACCAGACTTCTACCGATTATCGGACTTTCGTTGGACGTCTATCAGAAGATGGATTCCTTTCCATTGTTGGACTTCTACCTGACGCCATCCTTCTAACTTTCGTCGTCAGATAACATTTCTTCCGACCTCCGTCGCCAGCCGACTACGGTTCTCCTGACTTACGTCGCCCGCCGACTACAGTCTTTCCAACCTTCGTCACCAGCCAAATACGGTCCTCTAACTTACGTTTCCTACCAACTAATGTCTTTCCGACCTCTGTCGCCCGCCAACTACGGTCCTTTTGACTTACGTCGTCCACCGACAACAGTCTTTTCGACCTCCTTCGCCCATTGACTACAATCTTCCTGACTTATGTCTCCTGCCAACTACAGTCTTTTCGACCTCCGTCGCTAGCCTACTACGGTCCTGTTGACTTACGTCACCCACCGACTACAGTCCTTCCGACCTCCATCGCCAGCCGACTACGGTCCTTCTGACTTACGTCGTCCATAGACTACAGTCTTTCTGACCTCCGTAACCAGACTATGGTCCTCCTGACCAAACGAACACGTCAATAGTGATTCTTTGTGTTCACTTCATGTAATGTACCCTATAAAATGTACATTAAGCTAAGACATTCCCCAAGGAAGGGCCTCATTTGTAATCAACTGCAATACTAGTGGATTCATTCAAATTGGGCTAGGCCTCGTGATTTTCCCCCCTTTTCAAGGGTTTTCCATGTAAAAATCTTGGTGTCTTATAAATGCTATACCCTTTCTCTTATCTGATTGTGTGCCAGATTTTCGTACAACACTAAGACGTTAAACTTTATATTTCTCTACCGCCGAGAATACTCCTGCACACAATATGTATAAATATATTAGTCCACATATGAAAATTTCCCAACAATAAATTCTTTTATTAGGGTTTAAATAATATTCGATTATAAATCAAATTTTTTATTACATATATTTTAAAATTTAATTGAATCTTATTTGAATCAAATTTTATCAAAAATAAGTTAAAAAATAATAATGCGATGTTCCGAGCAGAGGTATTTAGTCTTAATAAACTTTTAAGATATATATATTTTATTCTATATATTATATGTCATATAGGACGGTGCCCCGTGCCCGAGTTCCTACAATGCCGGATCTATCCCTACAACTGCAACGTTGCATAATTCTACTCCTGCACTATATCGTGGGAGGAAGGGCATTTCTATAATTCAACCTCCGCCCGCTTGGTATCGTGGCGAATTTGTAAAGGAAAATCATTTGAAAGAGGACCAACATTGTAGACCGAACAGGCGTGTCGGACAAGGTCGAAACCCTAACACTTGATTCTTTTAGCACTGATACAGGCATTGGAGTTGAGCAATCGGAGGAATGGCGTCCTTCTCGGAGGCACCGCCAGGCGATTCGAAGGCCGGCGAGAAGATCTTCAAGACCAAGTGCGCGCAATGCCACACGGTGGAGAAAGGGGCAGGACACAAGCAAGGTGTGTTTTTTTTTTCTTCCGTCCGTCTGTGGGTTCCTTTGTGTTTTCTATTCGTTTGGTTATGACCGTCCGTAGTTCGGAATTGAAATGATCTGCTTCCTTGCAGTTTTGTTGAACAACTTCGATAACTGTTCTGATGAACGTTTATTCTTATTAGATTCGTGGTGTTTAGCCACAGTTTTCTTTTTTATTTATGTTAAATTGATTGGCGATTCTTCTTCCATTAGCGTTAACTTTACCTTTCAACACATACAGTAGGTTTTGGCCCTGTAATTCTTGGTTGTCTAGGCTCACTTTCTTGTACACCATTCATCTGATGTTTCGCGTATGTTGGGTTTATCTGACTTCCTCTTGCATAAGAACTAATTAGCAATGTTAGGGGCTGTTGTTAGTAGGATTTGAGAAGGATTTAAGCAGGATTTAACCGAAATTCTGCCAAACAGCAAACATGACAACCTGCAATCCGACAGAATCTTAAATCTCGTTTCTCCCCTGTTGTGCCTTAAATCCTGGATTTAGTAAATCCGGGCACTGGACGGATGTAACTTAAATCCGCAAATCTCTCAGGAACTCCAATTCTCCTTCACATTTCATCACGCGGAGCAGTTTCATGCCTTCTCTTCTTTGTCTTCTAGGGTTTCTGAATTTTGGGGACGGGTCTTTTGGGGGAAAGCGCGGTTTGTAGATAAGATATATTAACTAAAATTTTAAATAAAAATATATAATCGTTATGAATTACTAAAAATATTAGTTATTGATAGATCATCAAAAAATTATATTTATCAGGCACAAATCTTGAGGCAAAATCAAGTTGGAAACTTCAAAAATTAAATCGGAGACCATCTAAACTCCAATTTCAGCAAACTTACATTCTAATTGAACATCTCGAAAATACAAACCCAACGACACCAAATTCGACTCAATCCGAGCACAAATGAGTCCAAATCAAAGACCCTAAGCACATTTGGAAGGTTCAAATCATAATTTGGATTACCAAACGGTTTCCAAACATGACATGCTTATAGTCGAATCTAGCTGCTCGATGAGATGAATCCAACGAGCCTAAGATCGTTGAATTCTGATATCATTAAGACATTCAAATGCCCAATAAATAGTCTACAATCAAAGGATTCAGCATCGGCCGTCCATTCAAACCACTCTCAATTTACCCTTGATTTTTCTCCTTTTTACTTGCCATTCCACTCTCAGAAAATTATAAATAGACCCCTCATTTCTCATGGAGGGGGGAGGAAGGAGGCCCAATCAAAGAAGCAAAGAAAAGAAGGAAGAAGAGAAACTTTAGTTCTCTTGCCACTAGACTCCTTGATCACCGCCGGACTTCCACCCGGCAGCCTACTGTTGCTGGACTTCTGTTCTTCGCCGGACTTTCATCGGGCTTCTACCTGATGCTAGACTTCCACCCGTCGCCGGACTTCTGCCCGTCGTTGGATTTTCATCGGACTTCTACCCGACACCAAACTTCTGCCCATTGTCGAATCTCTACACCATGCCTGACTTCCACCCGTCGTTGGACTTTCATCGGACTTCCACCCGTTGTTGGACTTTCATCGGACTTCCACTCGATGTCGACTTCTACCCGTCGATGGACTTCTGGTCGTCGTCAGACTTTCGTCAGACTTCTATCCGAAGCCGAATTTCTGTCCGTCGCTGGACTTCCGCCCGTGGTCAGACTTCTACCCGACGCCGAACTTCTGCCCATGGCCAAACTTCTGTTGTCGGTAGACTTTCGTCCGACTTCTACCTGATGCCGAACTTTCACCAGTCGTCAGACTTCTATTTGTCACCGAACTTTCGTCGGACTTCCACCCGACGCCAAACTTCTACCTGTTTTCAGACTTCTGCCCGTCGCTGGACTTTTGGCAGACTTCTACCCGATGCTATATTTTCTCCCGTCAATGGTCCTTCTGTCCTCTTTCGTCAGAAAACGATCCTTCCAGCCTCCGTTGCCCGCCAACTATGGTCATTCCGACCAAACGAACACATCAATAATGATTCTTCATATTCCCACTATGTAATGCAATCTATATGATGTTTATTTGTCACATCAAGTAGGGTTGTCAATTTCGGGTCACGGGTCGGGTTTGGGTCGAACTCGAAACTGATCCGACTCTATTCGGGTTCGGGTTGACCCGACCCGACCCGCAGACATGGCAACTGACACTGAATTGGCCGGCGAAACCGAAAGCCGATGAAAGTGGGACGCGCGACACGGAACTGACGTGGGACGCACGACGCGGAACTGACGCGGCCAGTGACATGCCATGTGACGCTGGCCTTGGGCGTGACACGACTCGACGCGATAGGGCAGCTGGGACAGGAGGTCAGGCAGCCGAGCAGGCGGGGCTGGGTTATTCCTGGCATACGGGTTTATGTGTCATTCCGGGTCATTTTGGGTCATTCCTGGGTTCCCGGGTTAACCCGAACATGACCCGATTTTTAAAACCGGTCGTTTTTTCGAACCCGACCCGCTTTGGGTTTGAGTCAACCCAAACCCGAAATTTTTGGGTCGGGTTGGATTTTTTTTTGTTATAAATTTTGTAGATAAAATATATTAATTGAAATTTTAAATAAAAATAAATAATTGATATTAATTACTTAAAAATATATTAGTTATTAAAATCAAGATTATTTATATTTAATTAATCAAATTCTATGTATTCCTTAATTACAAATTAAATCAACTTTAATAATTAATATTAGTTAATTAAAAATATAATAACATATTTAAATTGATATTACTTTTGATTTGATTTGTCTTAATAGAAGTTAGGGGTGTCAAAATTAATTGATGGGTTGCGTTTGGGTCTGATCCAAAATTGACCTACATGACTCTAGTCAATCTAAATTCGATCCATTTAATAAACGCGTAAAAATGCAGACTAGAACCCAACCCGACAGCAACCCAAATGATCCGAACCCAATCCGGTAACTCGTTATGATTTAAAACAAATGTAATAATTTTTTAACAATAAACTTTAGGTTAATTAATAAAAAATAAGACATTCATACCATCATATAAAAAATAATAATTTAAACGAGTTATTTCATGTCAAAATGGGGTTGGAGAGTCAATCCAAACTCGGCCCGTTTAATAAATTGGTCAAAATTTCGGATCTGAACCCGAATTTTTTGATTCGGGTCATTTTTTGACACCCCTAATAGAAGTTATTGATTATTTAGCTTGGTAAATTATTGATTAATGATTATTTAATATGCTTAATTATATTAATTTTAATTTAGTCAATCTAATTAAGATTAATATAGGTATTATAAATTTAAATATAAGATGTTATGATTTATTTAATCCTAATCGAGTGAAATCTTACTTCCAACCAAACAGCTCCTCATATTTTTATGTAAACCAACAATATAAAATTAGTAAGGGTCTATTTTTATTTATAAAATTACATAGGTGCCAATGTGTATATATATAAACATTTTAAATTGAATTCCATATTTAGTTGATAAATGTTTAACTAGTCTAAACTTTCAAATTAAATAGATTCCATTATTTCAAATTATTTTAAACTGACATCAAAATGAAATTTGGTATTCATAAAACAAAAATATAAAAATCAAAACATTAGATATAACTTTAAAATTATAAACATATTTGTTTTCTTTTAAATTTGTTTAAGTTTAGTAATTGATTTAGTGTATAATTTAGAACCTTAAAAGAATCATACATTTTGAAGATTAATAACTGAAAGAACCATGGGAAAACTAAGAGTAATGCTTGTAAAGTTTGAGAGGAAAACAAATCTTAGAGATGAATGAAATAAATTCCAAGAAATTAGATTAGATGATATTAGAGTTAAGTTGGTCATAGTTCATATTTATTTATTTATATATAACAAGTAATGTAAATTTATTTTGAAATGAAATTTTAAATCAACCATATGACTCTTGATTGGTCACCAGTAGGGAGGGAGACAGTCATTGTTTGTCGAATCTTGCATTGTCTTCTTGTTTGTGTGTCCATTTGGTATCTAGGGATAGGGCTATTAAGTTTAAAATGAATGCTAACATTAATAAATAAAAGCATAAATAATAGTTTTACCATAAAATCCCAAAAAAATAGCGTGTGCCATTGTTCCTATATGGGGCGAATTGTGCACATCATTTTGAATTAGTGCACTGTGCCAAGAAAATATTGTCGAGGGTGTGTTATGCCGTGTCATTCATCATTACACGTGCTGTTTTACACCATTGACATATATGATTGCAATCTACAACAAGGAGTTTGGAGGTTAGTAACATTAGAAGGGATCACCTAAGATATATGGTTCGATTATGCTATAATTAGGTTTCACTTTAAATGTTGAAGATTGAAAATAAACTTCATACATTCTAATTTTCTATGTTTCCAGTAAGTGTATCTTCTAATGGAGTTTGCGACATTTGTACATCACCAATGATTCTACCCGTTCTTGTGTTACCATTAGTTTCAACATTACAAATTAAACAGGTAATTATAGATGAAGTTAGTTTTGTCCCTTTAGGCCAACAACAACAACATCAAGCCATGATCCCATTACGTGGGGTCGGCTACATGAATCCTTTTTCGCCATTGTGTCCTATTAAAAGTCAAATTCTCATTTAAATCTGATAAAGAAAAATCATTTCTAATATTTTCTAACGTAGTCTTTATAGGTCTGCCTCTACCTTTATTAACGTAAGTCAAATCTAATACCTTTACTTTTCTAACCGGGTCATCAGAAGGCCGTCGTTTTATGTGACCAAACCATCTAAGACGACTCTCTCTAATCTTATCTTCTACTGGAGCTTCTCCAACCTTTTCACATATATGCTCATTTCGTATCCATCTCTAAGGGTAAAGCCACTCATCCACCTGAGCATCCTCATCTCTGCCACTCTTAACATAGTATTATGCTTCTCTTTTAATGACCAACATTCGGCACCATAAAGCATTGCAGGCCTCACCACCATCTTATAGAAGCATACACCAAGGTACATCCTCTTGCAAATGTCTAGTGAGAACATCCATGAATAAAGCAAAAAGATATGGGCTTAAGGCTGATCCTTGATGTAACCCAACCGAAATAGGGAAATACTTGGTCAAACCACCTTATGTTTGAACACAAGTAATAGCTCCTGCAGACATATCTTTAATGATTTGAAGATTTGTCCCTTTAGGCCAACAAATATATTTAATTTGATGGTTTGACCCTCCACAATCCGATGATTCTCGACTACTACAGGAAGAAATCCAATGAGTCGCTCCTGATCTCCTAGATGATTATCATAATTAGTACTCTTCAGAGGAGAGTTCTTCCTACCCCGGGAGAATCGATGGAGACCAACTACTAGCATTTTCAATACAATCATGCCAGCATTTCTTCGACACTAAAAAAACAAGGAATAATGCCTATTTTCGAATAGTGATTTGATTCTGTGCATTACAATTTATAGGAGATTTAATTGATTAAGATAATTTGTGATTTGGGATATTTATTTATTCTTAGTAGTATTTTACTTGAATTTAAATTGTTGGAGTTTTAAAATTTCAAGATAAGCATGGCATATATTTAGGGATTAAGTAATATTTGAATGCCTGTATATCGAACCTTAAACCTTAGGTAATATTTGATTTAGAATTTTTGACGTCTCATTTTTTAATCTGTCTGATACTTTACTCAGCGACATCCCTCTCTCTCTCTCCCTCTCTCTCCCTCTCCCTCCTTATCATGATTTTTGCTCTCTCTGTGTCTCATATTCTTGGGTTATCTTTGTTATTGAAACCCTAATTATGGAACGCCTCTTGATCCCTCTTCGTATTTCTGGCTTATCTTTTTTATTTCTCATCCAAGTTGCAAGTCTTTTTGTCATGCTTTTTTTGGCACTCAGCCATCTTAACTTCCTTGTTCACAAATTTATCTAATTCGAAATATATGCACTTCAGATTCTTCACAATCCGATGATTCTAGTCTACTTCTACCTTGCCCAAGCCTTGTCTCCTAAGCCATTCAGAATTCCAACTCTAAAACCACCTCAAACATTGACCCTAAAACCATCTCAAATCCCAAAACCTAAGTGAACTGCATCTCTACTCTCATCAAGAAGAATACAATTCCTATACATGCATACACTCTCTGTCAAATTTGGCATATGAGCATTTCTAATATCAATTTATTTATTTTTTTGTTTGGTGAATTGCCCCTCGCCTTTTCCACAGTGCATGATTATATTTTGATATTCTGTTAAATTTAGAAAAAAAAAAGCTTTACATTTCAATTGAAATCTATGTTGCACTGATACACCTATTTATGAAGGCGTGTTGTATCCGATACACGGATACACCTCTGATACGGTACCGATACGTGTCGGAGAGGACACAATGAAAAAAAGGATTTAAGTAGCCGACCCCATGTAGTGGGATAAAGTCTTGTTGTTGTTGTATTATTAATCATTAATCATGTAATTTTATAAGCAAATGAATAGATAGTCTTTATTTGGACCCTAGAATTCAACCAAAACCAAATGAAGTAACTAATTCAGATCTAACTTTGTCCAGATACAATCCTAAAATGTTGGAAACAAATGTAGTTGGTTCGGAAATTAGTTTGTCCCAGCATTGAGTCGACGAGAGGTGTACCACTGCGCATGCACCAAACCCATGTCCACGCCAATGCTCGCATGCACAAACGTGGTCCTCATTGTACATTTACTTTTGTAAGTTAATTATATATTGATTGTAGCTAGAGACATCAAAGAACCAAAAAATAAAGTTTGATTTGAGCACAATATTCTAGATGAAGATCTTAATGCTATTAAGAAATTTTTATGAATGGAGGAAGCAAGAAATAAGAAGACACGCAATTTATTTCTGAAACAACAAAGTCATACTGAATTATTGGAAAATATTCATTGGTAAGCTGCAAAATTTGTCACTTATTCATTAGCTGGTCATTTTAGTTTGTCAGTAATTCCACCTTGATCAAAAGAAAGATATATAAATAGAGTGCCTTTTTCTAGCGCAGTTGGAAACATTATGTATGTTATAGTGTGCACATATTTGGACATTGCACATGCTATTAATGTTGTAGGAAGATAAGTAATCTATGTTGCACCGATACACCTATTTATGCAGGCGTGTTGTATCCGATACATCGATTCACGGATACGCCGTTGATATGGCACCGATACGTGTCGGATACGGCTTTGCCGTATCCAATTAAAATACTATTTAATTTCAAAAGGACACGCGTATCGGATACGCATGTCCATTGAAAAAAAATTCGAAAAAAAAGATCCGTCGACCGTCGTATTTACTTAAGCATCTGCGAGCGAGGTTCTCTCATTTCCGAGATGGATTTGAGTCTCTTGATGATATGAGAATATTAGAAATTGCTAATCTTTCACTTGATGAGCCTGAATTAGAAACTATGACACTTATTGAAGATGATATAGAAGTTCAAAGACAAACCACTGAAGAAGCTAAGCATATCATTCTTTCTATTGAATAGTTGAAACTTCATGTGCTAGACAATTTATGTTTATGCTTTTGTTGTTGTACTAGACATTTAATGCTTACTGTTATTTTGATATCATAAGCTACAAGGCTACAAATGATGTTAATTTCCTTTTTTTTTTGTAAATTCAAATATTATGATTTGATTGCTTTCTTAATTTTTATGTATGATTTATAAATTATAATGAATTGTCCGCGCCGTACTTGTATGTTATATTTTTAAGAATTGACGTGTCCAGTATCCGTATTGGTGCAACGTAGATTGAGATGAGCTTCACTTGTTGTAGATACGATTTTGTGTGGCTGTATTTCTATTAATTTATAAGATTACCGCTATTTATATTAATAGATTAAAACCTTCTTTCGTGCAATTTATTAATTTTTCTATCGTGATCAAGTCTGAGGCTCTTGCTAGTACTGGAGTTGAACCTTGCTGCAGCGTTTGCTTTTATCCATGTGAAAACAGTATGGTCCTGTCCCATCCTACTTTTACTCTAGAGAAGTGCTCTGCAGATTCATATAACTTATTATACATTATGCCTTGAATATTAATATCACCATTTCTGCTGGGAAGAGGAGAATGCAAGTTTTTCCTAGTTAATTTCTATCGGATTGCAGTTTGGTTTCATGTTTATGTCTTTTATTTGGCCTAGTTTTAGAACGAGCTATATCATACCTGTTTCACTTAGTTAGGAATAAATTTCTCATTCTCGTTTAAATTCATTGATTCTTTTCCAGCTTTATTTATTGTTGATTTTCTCTTTTTTTGCTAAAAATAACCATTTACTATGTAACCTTCTTTTGCGTGAAAAAGATTAGGCTAACTTTGTATTTATTTGCTGTTTAGGTCCTAATTTGAATGGCCTTTTTGGAAGGCAATCTGGTACTACTTCTGGTTATTCTTACTCAACGGCTAATAAGAATATGGCCGTGATCTGGGAGGAGTCAACGTTGTATGACTATTTGCTTAATCCCAAGAAGGTACTATTATATTAATTGGGTTTATGTTAAGATAAATATAAGCGCCTGTGATTCTACTCTTGCTTTCTATAGCTCTTAGTTTATGCTATAATTTTTTAACTTGTTCGTCTATCCTATATGTTTTTAATATCTTTATGGACAATTGTTAAGATTGCATTTGGTCCTTTGTCCAGTAAGGCAAATAGTTGATGGTCTTTAGTTTTTTCATCTGAGTCCTTGTTCTCCTTTCTTGGTCAGTTGTTTTCGACTGCTGAAATATTGTTATTACTTATCTCAAATGCTATTCTATTAAGATTTTCCTATTTTAAATAGTATGTATTAAAATCGAATAGCTATGTTAATTTGTTAGACAGCTCAATCCTTTTGCCAGATTCATATGAAAATTTGAGTTTTGGTTATGATTTTGTAATTGATAATATTTTATTAAAAAAAAAAAGAGATGAGCATCTCATCACTTATAAGAATGGACATAGTAAAATGCAGATTGATTATTTTGTTATATGAAAAATAGATAGTTCATATTGCAAATATTGTAAAGTCATTGTGTGTAAAAGTTTATGTACCTAGAATTGCTTATTAGTTTTGGATTTTAAGGTGATGGAAAGTAAAATAAAAAATAAAGTAAAATATTATCCTAGGATTATATGGGGGTATTTAAAAAATGTCAATCAAAATATTTTTGAAAGTAAGATTCAAGATTTCAAAATTTAAGTTGTTAATGAGGAAGTTAATATTATGTGAGAAGAAGTAATTAGTGATATTAAAAATTTTGCAAAGTATATGTTTGAGAAATAAAAAAGTATAGCTCCTAATAGTAAAAATAATTTGTGGTAGAATCAAAATGTACAAAAAAATATAAAAAAGATAAAAACTTTATTATGAAAATTATTTTAGATGAAAAAGTTTGAAAATTTGGGAAAGATATAGAAAGGCTCATAAGGAGTCTAAAAAAGTAGTATAAAATACAAAGAATTTAATTTTTAGTGATTTATGTAATATATTAGATATCAAGGAGGATGAAAGATGTATGTATAAGTTTGCATGACAATGAGATAGGAGAAATAAAGATTTAGTTCAAATGAAGTGTATTAAAGATAAAGATCAAAAAGTGTTTTTCTTCCAAGAAGATATTTAACGTAGTTGGATGAGATATTTCGATAAACTTTTCAATAAAGGTTAGTGACCTTAGCTCCCTATATGAAAATAAAGTTTTGTATTTTTATCGTTCTATTAGTATAACCAAAATTAGAGAGAGTTTAAAGTAAATGATCTGTGGAAAAGTAATAGGACCTGATAATATTCCATTGATGCGTGGAAATGCTTAGGAGATCAAGAAATATTTTAGGTTACTCTCCACGTTCTAATTTTAATCATTTTAGCTTAGATTTTAGTTAAATGGCTTATTATTTTCAATTATTCTTAATATTCTACTTATTCAACTTCTATATACTATTTATAATATCATGTCGTATCCATGTCCTATATTTTCAATAATTGACGTGCTTGTGTCTGTGTTGCCATATTCATATCTGTGCATCATAGCCTTTTCCATGCTATTGGTTCCACATAAAAAAATCTACATGAAATAGATATGGGGAGCACATATTAGAAGCTACAGGAACTGAAGCTTAAGGTGGCGGAAGTCGATAAAAAAACAATCGCAGTAATGACACGGGAATGCTAACAAGTCCAAAACCTCGTGTAAGATAATTCCATATAAGTAATTCAAAGGCTGCAATAGATAAATCTAAAGCGTTGATAACTAACTCCAAGTTCACTATTCTATATAACTTTTTAGTTGATTAAGAAGCAAATTTAAACCAAACTAGAGAAGTTACTCAGACTAAGGTCATCTTAACTAAATAGAACACATTCTACCTTCCTAGCCACATCATCGAAGGTATGTCACAAATTTATTGAAATTAAGAATTTTCTAACATAAACAACAAATTTATGGAATTGATTAAGCTTGCTCAGATGATTTATTTACTTTATTTTTTGCAAGAGTATATATATATATATATATATATACATCAAATATGCCTTGAAAAAAATTCAGCTTTGTAAATTTAGCATTTGATATTAATTTAGAAAATTTTGGCATAATTTTGTCCTTAATACTTTATCAGTCTCTGTACCAAATGCATGATAAGGAACCTGAAACACTTAATTAATATTAGGCAATTTAAAGACAAGTACATTTGGAAACCTCTTTTTAATCTCAATTAGACCACAATCAATAGATTTTGTTTATTTAAACTCCTCTTTCTTTAGATAATTAGCAATTGGCTCGACACAATTCTAAATCACTAATTGACTCGTCTATAGAAATTAGTTTGACTATGATCATTTTGAATCTACGAATATTAGCAAGCATTGGCCGATTATTAATTTTACTTTGTTACAATCAAGACTCCCACCACTAGACATAATAAATTGGATTGCAAACGAATCTAGCTAAGTCGAGCAGGTGCTTCTTTATGTTTGAGCTCGTGTATTACTAGCTTGTTCAAATTTGGTTTGAGTTCGATTCAAGCTTTTCTGTTTGCGTTCAAGTCTGGTTCATTAAAAATGATAAATGTTTATATTAGATTTGTGTTTATTTCTGTTGAAATCCAGCCGTTCTCAGTGCAAAGGATCCGACGGACACAAAGATCAATCCGCGGGATACTCTCATGGATCACGCCATAATGAAGGAACGAATTTAGGAAAGATTTTTATGTATTATTTATGTATTAAATCTGCAATTTATTGTTTTCTCATTGGGATATCTTGTATAGATCTATAAATAGGGAAGATTGTAATGAAGAATTTCAAGCTTTTCCCTCTCAAATTCTCAGTTTTAACATGGCATCAGAGCCAACAGCCTTAATTGCCGTCGGTGAACGATCTTAGATCGTCGAAGGAGGATAGTCGGACAGCCAAGAATGAGACGAAGGAGCCCGACCCCTCGCTGCTCATCTTGCCCAGCTAGAGGACCGCAAGCTCAGAACGGACAGAGCGGAAGTCCCGGCTTGACCGTCTCGTCACCTGGTATCGCACGACTTCCCTCTTCCGTTGTGCTACCAGAATCACACGAGCGAGCTCCCGACGCCACGTCCGAGACAGCTTCCCTCTTCCGTCGTGCTACCAGAATCGCACGAGAATCGCACGAGCGTCTTGCACCTGAGAGTTAAGCAGCTTGTTTCTATTCACCGAGACGCTGCTGGTCGAGCGAGAGAGATCGCGTCCGAGACGCTGCTGGTCGAGCGAGAGAAATCGCGTCCGAGGGAGAAGGAGTTACCGCTCGAGCGAGCACCCGTCCGATCCAAGCAGAAGACCGGCCAATTTCTTCTCGAACTCCCAATTCGACGCCCTCTCGGTCGCTAGCCTTCGCTCAGTGAAGAAGACCGGTCCTAATCCCGATCCGGGTTTCTTAAGGGACTCGGCTGGTTAAAAAAAAAAAAACTCTTTCGACCTTTATTGTCGAACGAGAAAATTCTAGGAAGTCTTAATTGCTTTCCAATGTCAGAAATTAACTCCTCTCAAAGTGTTGATCAAACTGAGGAATCGATGGTGCACCAAGGACGAGGTGACCTTCAAAGTATGCAACCTTCCTATCGTCTAAATGAGAAGAACTACTTGAAGTGGTCTCAGTTTGTGAAAACCTACTTGAAGGGGAAAGGTAAAATAAATCACCTCCTTGGAGGAGGACCAAAAGAAGGAGATCCCAAATTTGAGGTATGGGATGAAGCAGACTCCATGTTTATGTCATGGTTGTGGAATTCCATGACTACAGAAATTAGTGATACATTTATGTTCCTTTCAACTACAAAGGACATATGGGATGCGGCCAGACAAACCTTCTCCAAAGCTCGTGATGCGGCTCAAATCTTTGAAGTTAAAGTCAAAGTAGGAAGCACGAAGCAGGGGGTAAGACCGTGACGGAATATGCCACCATTCTACAAAATCTGTGGCAAGAACTTGATCACTATAGGTGCATTGAAACCGGATGTCCGGAGGATGCTGCGATCCTAAAGAACTTTATTGAAAAAGGTAGAGTTTATGCGTGCAATTTATTAATTTTTCTATCGTGATCAAGTCTGAGGCTCTTGCTAGTACTGGAGTTGAACCTTGCTGCAGCGTTTGCTTTTATCCATGTGAAAACAGTATGGTCCTGTCCCATCCTACTTTTACTCTAGAGAAGTGCTCTGCAGATTCATATAACTTATTATACATTATGCCTTGAATATTAATATCACCATTTCTGCTGGGAAGAGGAGAATGCAAGTTTTTCCTAGTTAATTTCTATCGGATTGCAGTTTGGTTTCATGTTTATGTCTTTTATTTGGCCTAGTTTTAGAACGAGCTATATCATACCTGTTTCACTTAGTTAGGAATAAATTTCTCATTCTCGTTTAAATTCATTGATTCTTTTCCAGCTTTATTTATTGTTGATTTTCTCTTTTTTTGCTAAAAATAACCATTTACTATGTAACCTTCTTTTGCGTGAAAAAAAAAATTAGGCTAACTTTGTATTTATTTGCTCTTTAGGTCCTAATTTGAATGGCCTTTTTGGAAGGCAATCTGGTACTACTTCTGGTTATTCTTACTCAACGGCTAATAAGAATATGGCCGTGATCTGGGAGGAGTCAACGTTGTATGACTATTTGCTTAATCCCAAGAAGGTACTATTATATTAATTGGGTTTATGCTAAGATAAATATAAGCGCCTGTGATTCTACTCTTGCTTTCTATAGCTCTTAGTTTATGCTATAATTTTTTAACATGTTTGTTTATTCTGTATGTTTTTAATATCTTTTTGGACAATTGTTAAGATTGCATTTGTTCGTCTGTCCAATAAGGCAATAGTTGGTGGTCTTTAGTTTTTTCATCTGAGTCCTTGTTCTCCTTTCTTGGTCAGTTGTTTTCTACCGCTGAAATATTGTTAATTACTCATCTCAAATGCTATTCTATTATGATTTTCTTATTTTAAATAGCATGTATTAATATCGAATAGCTATGTTAATTTGTTGGACAGCTCAATCTTTTTGCCAGATTCATATAAAAATTTGAGTTTTGGTTATGATTTTGTAATTGATAATATTTTATTTTAAAAAAATGAGATGAACATCTCATCACTTATAAGAATGGACATAGTAAAATGCAGATTGATTATTTTCTTATATGAAAATAGATTGTTCATATTGCAAATATTGTCACTGTGATTGTCGTGATATTGACACTGAACGCCAACAATTTCTACACCAACAATTAGGCCCCTGTGTCGTCTCGACATCTCAGATTTGTCCAACGTCATTTCAACCTCAACAACCGACGTTGTTTCGACATCGAGGGTCGACATTGTCTCGACATCGATGCCCGATTCCCCTATTGCACAACATTGATGCCCAAGTTTCGATAATATTGTCGCCTCCCATTTTGATTTCTGACACAAAAATCCACACCTGACTCTCGACGTTCTAATATTAATCAATTTAACTTAGATTTTAGTTAAATGACTTATTATTATTCAATTATTCTTAATATTCTACTTATTCAATTTCTATATATTTTATAAGATATACAAATTATAATATCATGTCATATACATGTCCTATATTTTCAATAATTGACGTGTTCGTGTTTCCATATTCATGTATGTGCATCATAGCCTTTTCCATGCTATTGGATCCACATAAAAAAATCTACATGAAATAGTTACAGGGATCACGTATTAGAAACTGCGGTAACTGAAGCTGAAGGTGGTGGAACTCCATAAGAAAACAATCGTAGTAATGCCAAGGGAGTGCTAACAAGTCGTAAACCTCGTGTAAGATAATTCCAAATAACTAATTCAAAGGCTGCAATAGATAAATCCAAAGCTTTGATTAGTAGATCCAAGTTCACTATTCTATATGACTATTTAGTTGATTAAGAAGCAAATTAAAACCAAACTAGAGAAGTTACTCAGACTAAGGGCATCTTAACTAAATAGAACACATTCTACCTTCCTAGGCACATCATCGAAGGTATGTTTACCTAGATTCAGGTTTTGTTTGGGACAGTTTTTTTTAAATAGCTTTTTAGTACAAGTCAATTTTTGTACTAAAAAATTGCTTTAAAAAGCAGTAAGAAAATCGCTCCAAACTAAGACTTCATTTGGGACGGCTTTCTTAATGCTTTTCAAAACAACTTTTTATTATAAAAATTTCAATTTTGTATGAAAAAAATGCTTTAAGAAGCAATAAGAAAGCCATCTCAAATGAAGCGGAAGTCTAAGCCTAAGCCACAACTTTTTTTTGGTAAATCTATTTAAAATCTCCTCAGAAGGGGGACTCTGTTGTTTATTCAAGAGGCTCATGATTGTTTTATAAATTGCAGTACATACCTGGCACAAAGATGGTCTTTCCGGGTCTAAAGAAGCCACAGGAGCGTGCAGATCTTATTGCTTATCTCAAGGAGTCTACCTCATCTTGAAACCCTGGAAGAACTTGATTTACCACAACAGTGATTTTTTGAAGACCAATAAAATTTCGATTCATTTTCAGTCAGTTTTCATATTATTTGACACTTCTTAAGTCCAAAATAACTTAACAGCATACCACTTACTCTTGCATCGTTTGTGCCATTCTCTTGCAGATGTAAGGCTTCATGATCCCTTTTATATCTTTATTAATACGTTGGATCTGCCATGTTATAATTGCTAGAATGTTAAGGAACTTGGTTCTACTCTTCTTTTACATGCTTGTTGTCTTTCTGAGTTTTTCGTTTTTTCAAAGTTTATGGAGTTGAGGGAGCTCATACCTTTGCATTTTCTTAAGCTTTATTGATATACTTCCTTGACAATATTTACAAGGGTGATTTGTTTATTCATTCATAGGATTGATTGGCGCTTTTCACCTCTGGGATAAGAATATATTGGTTTAGGGTTTTTGTTTGGGACAGCTTTTATATTGTTTTTTAAAGTAATTTTTTAGTTCAAATTTTTCTTAAACAAAAAAAAAAACTAAAAAGTTGTTCTAGGCTTCATTTGGGATAGTTTTGTTACTATTTTTTAAAACAGTTTTTTAGTACTAAATTTTTTTGAATAGAAAATTTTTGTACTGAAAAATTGTTTTAGAAAGTGATAAGAAAGTTGTCTCAAATGAAACCTTAATAACTTGACTAAAGCGTTGGATATATGTTACCCATCCATTGTTCCAAAAAAAAAAAAGTTAAATGTGTTAGCACTAAGAGAAAAGTATAGCGGGTGACAAAAAAAGTTTTATAAATTCAGCATGTTAGTTTTTTCAAGATTGTGAAAATCGAACTGGACAATAAATTGGTAAAATAAGAAGTTCTCGAACCGGGGTCGAACCATATGATGTAATTAATAATAATATTATTAAAATTAAGAAAAGTAACATAATAGCAATACCAATTTAATCTAAAAAATTTCATCATTCTAAAAATTTTGAGACTAAAAATAAATAAAATTCATATATGGGAGAAATTTTAAAACTTTAAAAATTATAAATAATTATTTTTTATTTGAATAATTATAAATATACAAATAATTATATATTTAAGAACTTAAAAAATTATTATGATTATTTTTATTTGAATATTTCATATAAAAATTTTCCAACAATTTCTTTTTGAAACATCCATCTTGTACTCATTGTTGAAACTAAAAACTATTAGTTGTTTAATCCCACATCACTTAGGAGTTTTATGTTGTGTTGTTTATATACATTTTCTTGTAGCCATAGGTTAAGAGCTCTCATGGGATGAAGAAATCATGTGGGAATGATTGTTTAAAATTTAATATATAATATTATGAAATTTTAAGAATTAAATACTTAAAAAATAAAAAATTGAAGTTATATCATATTTAAATTAATTTAATATTTAATAAAATATTTTATATTAAACTAATTGAATCGGCCGGTTCAACGATTAGGTGGTTGAACCGATGGTTTTCACCAGTTTGATGCCAGTTCAGTTTTCCAAGAGGACCGAATAAGCCATTGGACCGGTTCACGGTTAAATCGGCCGGTCCGGTCCGGTTTTCAAAACCATGAGTTTTTTTTAAAGTTTTTAGGAATTGGCTATAAATTGTGTTGTGGGGCAAATTATTTATTTTTTTTATGAATTTTGAAGTATAGCTTGATAAGTCTCTAGAAACTTCAAATGAATGGTGCAAATCTGGAAGCAATGTTTGAATTAAAATTTTTTAAAATTAAATGAATGATCAATTGAACTTCAATATTAACAAATTTATAATTAAATTGAGCATATTGATGAGACAAACTCATTAACATTGCAAGTGATCTGACTTGATTAAAAATGAGTTGAAATCAATCATATAAAATATATTTAGAAACTTTTTAATGTTATTGAGGGATCCAATGATCTCCAATTTGATGTGCTTACAATCAAATTAAGTTGTTCAAAGTGATAAATCTAGCAAAAGAGAGTCACTAAAGATTTAGTATATTAACACATAGAGAGTAAGATTCCAGAGAGTGGACGTAGGTCAAGATTTGACCAAACCACTATAAAAGTTTTTGCGTGCTCATTCCTTTTATTTTACACTTTATTTCTTGCATTTTTATTTTTGGTATATTATTTTCTTGAAATATGGGATAATAATATTGTGATAGCTTAGGATTATTTTCTGTGAGCAAAAGAAAATAAAACAAAAATATTTTTCAGGAATGGGTATCAAGTAGCGTGAGGTAGATTGAGATACATGTTTTATTTATTTTTATATTTTGCTTTATTCTCTTATACTTAGGAGCTGAAAGGAACTGATGTCTATTTTGACTAAACTCATGACTAGTGTATATAAATTTTGTGAAATGAATACAATTTTATATTGATTGGATGATTACATGCATACTTATGTTGCCTTGTATTGATTGTAATGGTAAGTTTTGATAATCTATTAGCTAACACTCTGTGAGTTTTTATATATTTTCATGTTAAGGATCTTATGGAGTGATACTGGTCAATTTTTTTTCTAGGTTTTCTTTTATTATGTATCTTTATTTATTCTTTTGTAGTCAGGAATCCAGAATGATAGATTGATGTATTAATCAACATCTTAATTATTTTATATAAATTTAGGAAAATGAATAAAATTGTAAATTGAAGAATAGAATTTGTAATTGCTTTTACTGGGTTCTATTATTGAAATGTGATTAGTAGCTATGGTAGATTGGTTAAGGGATTTAAATAGATAATTCATCCAAAATTTGATAGGTCTATGACAGTTAAAGAGGTGAAAATTAAATGGGTGGAAATTAATATGTAAAAATTAAATTGGTGGAAGTTAGATATGTGGAAATTAAAGAGGTGGAAGTTAAATAGTTGAAAGTTTAAGGGAAAAATATTAAAAAAATAAAAAAAATAATAAAATTTTTAAATATTTAAAGTATATTTTAGAATGTAACAAACTTTGACGTTTGAAAAAAGGGTGGCAAATTATATGAATTCAAAACTTCATATGATCTACATGAATCTTAAGACAATATTTGAATTAGAATCTTTTAAAATTAAAATCAAGATCATATGAACTCTAAATTTGACATATTTATTATCACAACCCAATCCAATATATCCTATAGATAAAATGGGTCATATCGTGTTGGATGATAACAAACCGAACAAATATCTAATTTAGAGATTTTTTAAGATTTTTTTTTTTTTATATATAATTATCAACACATAACATAGCTACTATTTTACTTCTAAGAATAGAAAATATGCCATCCATAAATTTTCCTTTCAATATATAAGTACAAATATGAAAAAAAAAATGAACTGGAGTGCTATAACACCATGTTTGCGGGTACAATGACACAGGGAAATGATACAATACGTCGAAGGGCAGGATGGATACGATTGAAAATGATTCATGCAGAATTGGCCTATATGACTGAATATATAAAAATGTTACAAGTAACCAAATGTTCTATCTTGCTTGACTGATTTCATTTCTTGCACATGTATATTATATGATACATAATATGACTAATATGGTAAGACTTATAAACTAATAAGATTGATACATGAGTATATAATAAATATAAACTACATGATTTATATAACATTGGCATTCGATTCAGATACATTATATAATATACGATATACTGCTTTGGCATTGATAGGTTGCGTTGGATACAAGATATGAGATACATGCATTTTCTAAATACTTCATGACATGCATATGAACATGACAAGTATACAAATTTCTTGAGTTGATATATGAACTATATTATTTTGAAACTAATAGGTATAAAAATGATAAAACAAAAGTTGAACCTTCACATGGGTACTGATTACTAATTATTGCTTACAAGATATACAATTGCACTGATTTTATTATTCATATGACATGACAACATTTATATTGACCGCTATATATTTTTATAGTTACATGTTCATAATGATATTGATTAAACGATTGTATGCATACTTTTTCTATTTTATTGCATTGATTTCAGTGTATGTTACGATAATCTATTGAGTTGTCATCTCATTTTATGATTTTACATATTTTTCTTAGAAAGGGGATATGATCTAGTAGAGTAAGGTAGATCGAGATTCAATGTTTTTTATTTTTTATTTTTTTTGTATTTTGTTATATTCTTTTGTAATCAAGAGTAAAAAGATTGATTGATTGATGTATTGATGATACTCTTGATTATTGTACAAAAATTTTAAGGAAAAAGCATAGTTTTATATTTAATGTATATGATCATTAGTTGCTTCCATTTGATTGATTTATATTGACAAATCATTAGTAACTTTGGTAGTTCAATTAGAGATTAAATAAGACACCTTTTTAAAATTTGACAATGAGTTGTGACATTAAGACCCTTAGGACTCTTAGTGCATGCAACACAACAAATTTTTCTCCCAACATTAGAAATTCTCAAAATCATACACTTTAAGTTGGCAAACACATATATTATTGCTTTTAAGTAAATATAAATGGAAAAATTCATAATGTAGAATATCACATAATACTATTTTGGTAGCCATAATATTAAGTAAACTAAGCAGAAATACATAATTTTCGAATTGTATCAAATTATCAAGGATTTTCAAGAAAATTATTTTAGAGCTTTAAATATACTACAACATTATTTTCTGAGGTTATAATTATTTTCCTGATTGCTAAAAATAGCACACTTTCTTGTTTAATTGATAGAAATAAAAAAAAAATACTAAAAATGTCTAGAATACTTATACCAAAAACATACATAAAATTATATGGTGAAAGGTTAATGAATATAAAGTTATCCTCAATTTTACAACCCAATTTTATAATTTTAATAAAAAAATCCCAAAAATTTCACATTATTCAATAACTTGGATATGTAGAGTGTAACATACCTCGATCCAAATAACTTATTGAACTAGACTGATAGCAGAACCAAAATTTCTCTCACTAAAATTCTCCTCTCTCTCTCTCTAATCCTGCTTAAGGGGGAGTTTTGGCCAAAAATAAATTTTAGTGGAATTTGATATTTTTATAAAAAATTGAATGCTAAAAATAAACAATTTAATAAAACATGAACAATATCTCTTCTTCATGAGTAAATTCATTCTATTCAAATAATATCTCTTGTTCCATTTAATTCGATGTTATTTAGGGCTAAACATTAGAATATATTCCTACCCCTATAATCGACTCAAAAGACGTTCAGTTCAGGAACAATTATTACGTCCTCCGACCGGACGTAGAGCTACGTTCGGCCTCCAATAACATATCGCCACGTGCTTTTACTCTCTACCGCGCGGCACGACGACTTGACCCGGAGCGGAACCCGGGAATGCTATGTTCGCATATTGCGAGGTATTACTCGGTATTTGCTCGGTATTGCTAGGTATTGCATGACAATAACGAGAAATGCCATTTTGTGAGGACGCCAATACAGTGCAATACCGAGTTGTACCGAGTTTTTCTATAGAAAAACTCGGTACAACTCGGTATTGCTCGGTTTTGGCTCGATATTATTCGGTAGTTGCTCGGTATTGATTATTGCCAAACAAAATCGACCAATACCTAGCAATACCGAGCAATACCTAGCAAAATCGAGAAATATCAGCCATTCTGGGTCAGTTTCAGGTCAGGTTGTAGGGGCACGTGGTAAATAATGAGAACGTGTGACGCGATTCTACTGACGGCTGCATGTAGAGCTATGTCGTGTGACTGGACCAAATATTCTCAGTTCAGCGGCCACCTAACTTCAATATTAAATATTTTCGCTGATCAATTTCATCGAGGATTGGACTCCTCAACACACAACGCCTAACGACGTTCCGTGATTCCTTCTCTAATGAAGCTTATCCGACACGACATTTTCATTTAATAAAGAATTTTCAATTTTCATCATTATATTCATTACCATCCTAATCCTTATCTATCGCCATGCGAAGAGGCGCATTGATAAATCACAGCCGTCCAGATAACTGTATCGAATCCGATCATCCACGTGTCTCCACGTGCTATCTGAACGCTGCCTGACTTCGCCTTCAATTCTTCCCGCAGTCTCCGGCTGATGTGGGACCCGGGGTCTACAATTCACGTGCCTCCGCTTCGATGCCATATGCACTGACAGAATCAACGGTCAGGATGGAGATAAGATAGAGACCAAACGAGCGGATCTAGTGCCACGGCACAGGTATGTAGAAACCGTCCGATGGGGATCGGACGGTTGATCCGTTAATACGGTTGGCTTGCGCGGGCGAAGGATAACGGTGATCCGTCACTCGAAGCTGTGTGGCAGTGTAGTAATTAAAGGCTGTTAGAAGCAATATTCGAAGGGGGAAAAAATTAAAAAAACGGAAAAAGAGGAAGTGGGGAGAGGGGAAGAGGAAAAGGGGTGAGGCTGGGAAGGAACCCCGGGGCTTCTTCGCTCGGACGGAATCGAGAGGTTAGTTTGGAAATTACGTGTTGGGTGCTTTCATGAGGAGATTGATCATTTTTGATGACTTGTTCTTAGTTTTGGTTTGGAAATTTGGGGATTTTGGTGCAGGGAATGCTGCCGGGTTTCTCTAGGTGGGATAGAATGTATATTATGTGATCAATGCGACGGATCGAGGCATGGATTGCAAGGCATCAGCTGTCAGGTATCGTTTGCTTCTGCGCCGCCTTCTCTCTCTCCGCCCTTTCTCTCTCATGTTCATCTTAATCGGTGGCAGATTTTGGTATCATCGCGCAGATTGCCTGATTCTTTCTTTCTTTCTTTCTTTTTTTCTTTTTTTACTTCCTGTTGTTTTCTTGTTTTAGTGCTCTCCCTGAGCAAAAATTTTGATGCGAGGATAATTAGTATTTGATAATATGCTTTTTAATATCTGTACATATTTTATCTAAGAGTAATAATATTTGATTATATATAGTTTTGTATTTTCAACTCCTTCGCCTCTCCATAAGTTGGATTTCGTAGTTTGTTTGTCTGTTTGTTTTTTTTTTTTTATGGCTGCAGTTATCTCGTTCATTTTTGCGACGATCTGTTGTATTTTTTAGATTGTTCAGGGGGTGTTTGGGCTGACTCAAAATTTGTTGTGTGGTTCTTTAAGAATACCAGTGAATGTATTTCTGGTGAGTAGGGCTTTGAGTTTAAATCTAAAAGAATGAAGGCATTTTTTCGTGATATATACTGAAATTTCATAATCGGATGCGTTTCCCATTATTATTTTGGTTTTCATATTGCTAATTTCTTTTTATGTTTTCATGCTGGTATTTCTGCAGTTTGGTTAAGTTGTCATTAGTTTGCTTTCTGATTCATGCGAAGCAAATATGTGATCAAGGACTTGGTTTATGTGACCTGTTTCCCTGTTTATCCATGTTACTGTCGTTGGTATTGGTTTCGGTTTGTTGTTTTGTTACATGTTATGGATTATAATAAACTAAGATCCAAAATCAACTTCACTAATTGTTCTATGTAGTTCGTTGAATGGTTCTTTTATTTATATGGAAGAAGTCTTTGCAGGAAAATGTTTGGAGGAAGTGATGCCAAACCAATATTTCCAGCTGCCTGGGAGGAGAGCCAGGTTCACTACACTGCAAATAATGCAACCACACAACTACAATTGTTCGAAAATTGTAAGTTGCAACTTTTTTTAAGTGAGCGTATTGCTTACTTATGAAACAATCCTACTTATCATGGCAGTTGCCCATTTTTGGTTTGCCCATTTTTGGTTTAGATTCACACGGCACAATCCCAAAGTTTGATGTATATTGAACAAATACATTATTCCCTGAATGTATCTATGGATTTATAGTATGCCCAACAGGCAGCGGCCAGGAGTAATTTAGCTGGTATTTAACAATATGTATTGAAGTTTCCTATACCATGTGATGAAAAGAATTTATTTTTCGTGTTTTTCAGTTTTTATTCTCTTTTCAAGTTCGATCTGTTTATAATTGGTAAATAGAGCAATAAATTGTTCTTGTGCTTGAACTTTTCTCTATAGCTTAACATGTAATTTTATGTATGCACACAATTGGAATTTTGCGAGGAGAAAGCAATTATGTGGATGTTTCTTTACATTGTTTCGTTTTTGTGCTCAAAGAACTATTTCAAGAGATGAGCATTGCCTTGCTATTTTGGGTGGTTGGGAGCGAGTATTGGGTCCTATACATTGACAATCTTGTATTCTTATTTGTTAAGCAATCCTAAGTTTAAAGACTTATGAAGATTAACCTATGCCTAAGTATACTTCCCATAAGAACTCAACTAAGTAGGTGGTCTTAAAGAATTCAGAAAAATGGTCAAGCTATGTAGTAGCACAATCAAGCTATTTATTATCTTCATTGTGTAAGGTAATGTTTGAGTTGTGAAGCTAGAAACCAAGCTAGCAACTAGTGTAGCAACTAGTGTCTGTGAGCATCTCATGCATAACAACAAACAGATGGGCAATTTTGGTGTTTGTTTGATGACATTGGGTAGAGATTTTTGATATGTTTTGATGTTCTTGTTTATTACCTCTATTATATGGTCTTATATTTATTAAACCTTATTAGAAGGTCTTCCTATTTAGTGACGAGAGATTTAGAACTTTTCTTTATGATGAGTGGGTGTACTTAGGTTTAGGAAAGAGTATTTCTTTTACCCATAATTTGGGCACTTGTGTGGCTTCTAAATAGTTGATCAATTCATCTCCCTCATCTCCCATGGATCTAGCTGATTGTTGAACCACAAATCATGATACATTTCAGTGTGCTTGATCTTTTTGTTATTTTCTTTACATGTTCATTAAATTTTTGCCTAGTATGCGCTTCTATAAAAAAAAGTATGTTGCAACATTTGATATTTATGAACTTTTAGTTTTTAACAATTGTTATTACAGCCGAAGGAAAGATTTAGTGAAAACAATATATGATATCATGAAGTTTGATGGTTGCAAAAAATATTTCTTTCTGAAGAACCAATATATATTGTATGCTAGTCTAGCAATGACTTGTAAATGCTCTTTTAGGGCATTTAAAGATCCTTGAGAATATAAATGAAAAGGAAAATGCGATGGATTAAGGGCTATTTTAATGGTTTAATTATGTTTGGCGGATGAGGTATTTATGTTGATCTTGGAGTAAACAAATAGCATGGGCTTGTTGCTAAAATTTAAGTCGTATATACCAAGATATGCCACCCTCTAACTGCACCCTCTATCCAAACTAAAGATTTAGGTGCTTCACATGAATGGAAGCATGCCGATCAAGTCACGTTTGAATGAATGTATTTTCATAGGGATTTGACCAATATTATGTAATGGTTTGTGATGAGGATCAAGTTTTGTTACTCCTGTGCTCTTTTACTTCTCATAAGCATTTTCTTGACACATGTTGCATGGTAGATATATCATTAGCTTACAGCCCGAAGATTTTATTTTGTTTTTTTCTAAATTTGTGATTGCTAATCTTAGGATTGTAAGAGATGATAAGCCGGTGAATGATTATTAGTTATTTTGACTGAGCATGGAGTATGTAGGTTGTATGGAATGTACAAAGATGTTGCTTGGTTTTCTCATGAAGAGTAACGACATTAATAGTTTTGTGATAGGATGAGCCTAAGGAGAATGCACTTTTTTTCTTGGTGGGCTTTGGGATGGGTTTGTTGATGGCCAGGATTAGCTTATGGTGGAACGTTGAGTTAGTCAAGACGTGGCTACTCGGAGGGAATTATTTTGTGTATGTTGTGGAAGAGAGTTGGGAATACATTCTCAGGTTTGGTAATGTTTGGAAGGAATTGTTGATGCTAGTGGATGGCTTGGAAGTGGGGCTTGAGGGAAGCTTGGAAAAGCTAAACTTGAGCAGACTTGTTTTAAGGGTTTATGTGAGAATGGGGAAGGAAAATGTAGAATAGCTATGAGGGGTTATGGGATGGTTTTAGAGTTGTGGGAAGCATAGGGTGGTGGGTAGGATTGAGTGGAAGTGTTAAAACTGAGATTGGGAGGGATGCCCAGGATAGCCCTTTAAACAAAATATGGTCACTATGAATTTCTCATTATGCTATTCAAATTGATGATTGCTCCAGCAACATTGATGGATTTGAATAGCCTGTCCCAACTTTACCTCAATCAATTTATCATAATTTAGACATGTCGTAGTTTACTTATGATAAATTTTACAGAATTATTTTCTCATCTTTCAAATTACACCATCTTACACTAGGAAATTATTTCTTTTTATCATTTTTAAATAACTTATGATATTTTAGATTTATAACTATCACTCTATGTTGTATGATCGATTTTTTTTTCCAGAATCACTTTACAATCCTTGCAATAAGATTTTTCTTTCCTTATAAGTATAAAAAAGTTTATTTATGATTTGATGACTCCACTTTTGAAACTAATTAAGTTCTGGTATTGTTTCTTAAAGTTTGTATTTGTAAGATATTAGGCTATTGCAAAATCATATATAGCTTATCCCATTATATTTCTATCTTCTACTTGATATCCATCATGACTCCTCTCATAACTCACCCTAGTAAAACTTGTATATCCCTTTTAGTCACCTTTAATGAATATTCTTTCATGTGTACGTTGTGATAGTTAGTCTGTCTCTTCCTAAATTTTATTTTAATGCTATCTTCTAATCTAACAGGAGCATAAGCACTAACCACATATATAATATTTTCATTGATAATTCACTTATCAGAAATTACCCTATCTGTGAAAAATTTTTATCTTTTAATTGTCTATCTAAAACTACCCCTACTCTGTTTCTACTGTGAACCTTTCCAACATGCAATAACTTGTGCTTTTCTCAATATCCTTGGATTTTTTTCTCTTTCCATTTAACTTCTAGCACACAAACAATATATGTTCTTCTAATAACTGCCTCCACCAATTTTATTATTTTTTATGTGGAGTCCACAAATTCTGTGGCAAATTCAATATTAATTTTAGACCTAGCCAACCCTTTACGGGTGATGTTCTAGCCATTTCTTCACTACTCGCCCAAATTAGGTTAGGAGTTGTCAATTTTTTGTGGCAAATTTAATATTAGTTTTAGACCTTGCTAATCCTTTCCCGGTGACGATGTACTAGCCAATTCCTGACTACTCACCAAAATTAGATTAGGTTATAGTATTTCACTTTTGTATAAGGCCCTAGCACTAGCAAAATGCAAGTTCGAATATAATTGTTTTTGACATACGTTGTACAGTTAGTTGTTAACTTTTCATTTGGGATTGGAACTGACAATATAAGTATCCCAATAATACTAGTTGTGTAGCGATAGGAAAAATTTAATTAGCTGCATGTTACTTAATTTTAATAAGATTGAGGTTTGTTCAAAACTAAAGCTGACTATAGCAGTGAAATTTCAGAGAATACTGAAGCCTCAAACCTTGTCCGCAAGCTGAAAGTCTTGACTGTTTCAAAGTGACTGCTTTGAAATGTAATCCAACTTTATTTAAGGAACTTTTTATCAATAAAGTTTTTTCTGTTCATAATTCTAAGTGCAATCAGCAGGGTTTTTGTAGTTTGGACCTTCATCTTGAGTTTGATAATAGTTAAATGCTATACATTTTGAGATCTAATAAGGTTGTCTCCATCCAAATATTTTTTACCTTTATTAAATTATATGCTTCCTTGCATAATTCTTCAAGCGCACACATCAAACCTATGATTCTTATTTACATGTTGCTTATATTTAATCAAGAAACCCGTATACATTGTAGCTTGATCTGCATTTATTATACCCCAATTTTACACAAGAAGATAATCCTATGCAATGCACGGGACAGTCAAAATATTATTATTCTAACTTTTTAAGAAATTGCCAAAATAAAATTTTATATAATTAATTTTTAAAAATATTTTTTGTATGCTCTTATTTTATGACTTTATTCTTTTATGATATAAATGATGATAATGGATACTCTAAATTAAATGAATAAAATTGATAAATAACTGTATAATTATAATAATTTGACTTGTTGCATTTGAAGGTTAAAATCATGAAATAATTAAATTAACCTTCAAATGCAACAACTTAATTAAATTAAAAATTTAAATAATAATTTTGTCTGTTGTTTTTGAAGGTGCATTAGCTTGATTTCAATATCAATTTTATTAATCTTAATCCAATTCTTCATTTTCATCATTTATAATGCATGTGATTATGTTTTTATTTTTTAATCTTTTGACAAACTTTTGATAATCTCAATATGGTACTTCAACAAATTTATCAACTTATTTTTCTGAATTCGATTATGCATTATCATCATTTGAATAATGTAATTACCTTCTTGTTGCCACTTAATATGATCTGTACGTTATATTATATTAGGCCTCAATGAAAGATTAGTAATCTCTTAATTTTTTTCAAAACTTTATATAAAAGAATAAATATTCTTAAACTAATCGGTTGATACTCATTCTAAAATGGAGCAAACTTCTTATTTTAGATTTTAAAAAATGATTGGTCTTCTCTTTTATTGTGACTCTCTCTCTCTCTCTCTCTCTCTCTCTCTGTATTTTATGAATCGATAGATTTGGTTTGCCCTTCTTAAATAAGAAATACATTTCTCCCACTAAATGATGAATAAAATAAAAAAATTTATTTTAGGCAAGGCTATTATAAAATGGAGCTTT